GTACGGAAAGGCTATGTCGCTGAGCGGTAAAATAATTTATTTGCTGTTTAAAATTTAAATTTAATTTAATTTTATTGAATAATTATATTAATTTTTTATGTTATTAAATAAAATGAAAATTTATAATTTATATATATAAATTTTTTCTTTTGTTCGTAATATTTGGTGTAAAACAAAGGGTGGAATTTGAAAAAAATAATACTAAAATTTATTTAAAAAGAAAAATCACTTAATAAATTAGTGAGATTTGGTGTACTTTTAAAAGTTTTTATTTAATCATATTTAAAAAAAATCTGATGTGGTCAGCACATAACCGACCGCATTGTGTATTGTCTAGTTAAATGAAAGTATTACAGAATATTATAAAAATGTCTGTTAAATAGTTTTTTTAAATTTTTAGGACATTAGTAAGCTTATAGTTAACATACTTTGAAAAATGTAAATTTGGCTCTTAGTGGAGTTTCGCTTTGTGCTACCCGAATTCTCTGAAATGCTCGTCAGTTAATTTCGGTAACAACCAGAACTCAAATATCAAATTTCAAGAAATTCCATCAATTTGTTCTGTGGATATGGTGAAAAATGTAAAATCGGCCCGCAAATCAGTTCTCGAGCCCTGATCTTTCCAAAAAAGTTATATGTTCATTGCTTTAATATGAGGAATTCATATATTAAATTTCAATGAAATCGGTTGATTATTTCTCTTTATATACACAAAAGTGTATGTTTGGCCCGTAGTAAACGTCTAGTTGCCGATGTCTGATCTTTCCAAAAAATTTACATGTTCATTGTTTTAATACGGGGAATTCATATATTAAATTTCAATGAAATCGGTTGATTATTTCTCTTTATATACACAAAAATGTATATTTGGCCCGTAGTAAACGCCCAGTTGCTGATGCCTGATTTCTTCAAAAAGTTAGGAATTTTTGCGTATGATCAATCAAAGCTTATATATGAAATTTCAAGTAAATCGGTTGAATACTTTCTTCAAAATGGTGAAAAATGTAAAATCGGCCCGCAAATCCGTTTTCGAGTCCTGATCTTTCCAAAAAATTTATATGTTCATTGTTTTAATACGAGGAGTTCATATATTAAATTTCAATCAAATCGGTTGATTATTTCTCTTTATATACACAAAAATGTATATTTGGCCCGTAGTAAACGTCTAGTTGCCGATGCCTGATTTCTTCCAAAACATACGAATTTTTCCGGACGGTCGAGCTGAGCTTATATATAAAATTTCAAGTAAATCGGTTGAATATTTTCTTCAAAATGTTCAAAAATGTAAAACAGGCCCGCTAAAAAGTGCAGTTACCGAGGCCTGATATATACCAAAAGTTGATCGATCCGTGCCATGGTGGAAACAAACTTACATATAAAATTTCATCAAAATCGGTTCAGCCGAATTTGAGATACACGCGTGCACACACAGACCGACAGACCGACAGACCGACAGACCGACAGACCGACAGGTTGCTAAAAATAGTTTATTTACACTTCCCTACTATGGAGAAGTACGTTCCCACCGAAAACTCGATATGCAAAATTTATTGCCATCACATAACCTACCTATTGTTTACACAATACGGTCGGTAAAAATATATTAGTATATTTGATTACCTTCATATAAATAGCAATGCCCCGAAAGTATTGCGTCGAAGGATGCAGAAGCAATAGTCTACGAGAAAAGGAGAACGTAAATACTTTACCTACATTCATATTATAAAAGCGAAGCGATTTAAAATTAAAATTTGACTATTAATAAAGAAAAATAAAAAAAAATATAATTTACATATTATTATATGTATGTATATAATTTGAAAAAGACAAATAATATTAAAAAAAAACTTTAAATTTGTAATAATTGTCATTAATATTGTAATATAAACTATAAATTTCTTATTTTTATTTCAATTTTGTTTTAAAAATTTAAAACAAATATTTCTTATGAATACTCATACATACACGCGTATCGGTAATATGCATTTTTTTTATAAATTGCTTAATTTCTATGCTCCCTCTACATTGCGGCTTGACGTAAAAGAGTACTCGACGTGAAATCAACTTGAAATTCAAGCTGCGTTTTTACTATGTTAACTTAAAAGCCTAAAAACAACGTTTAGCTATTAAAATTCAAATCATTATTAACACTTCAAGTCAAGTAAGCGACAGGTAGACATCTATTGCGTACTCTTTCCCTCTCCCAAAAATTCTCATGTGTATAAAAATGAAAATAAGAAGGTATACTGCTTAACTTTTTTTCTATACAAAAATTGGTGAGTGATTGCATTAGTGTATCAGAGAATCGAACCACTTCTTTATAAATATACTTTGATTTTAAGAGTTTGGAAGCAAAATGCAAACGAAAACTAAAGGAATGGAACGAGTCGAACTACTTGTTAATAGGTATACTTTGATTCAAATGTTCACCTCAAAACATTTTATATTCAAAAAAGCATGACTCACGTCTTATGGATTGTTCTTTTTGTAAAATTATTATTCTTCAAAAAATTTTTTGATTTTGTTAGAAAGTTGACGCAAGTCTCCTTTGTTTTTTAATTATTTGATTCTTCTTTCTGTAAAAAATAAAAATCCGTGATTTTAAACTTTTTTGTGCCCCACAATCTTTAGGTGTTTGTCAGTAGTAACGAATGCAACCTGTAGCTTAGGAGGAAGAATTCTTTAAATAAACTTAAGTTAAAGTTTAGGATGGTGGAATTATTTTAATATGGAATTTTAATTTTACCTTTGGATTAAAAGTAGATATGTAGAGTATTACTGACAACATCTTAAATAAGTACAACTTCGAAATTCTAAGTTATAGAGCAAAAATGGGCTTATTGTTTTAAACAGCATTAAGATACCTTAAATTTTGTCTCAAAAGTACTATTTTCGTAGTGATAACACTAATTAAACATTTTCCAAAAATTAAAAAATTAGCTTCGTATTTTGGTATTTTCTTTTGAAATAAAATTTTTTATTCTATGAAACCTGCATTTTGCATGTAGTATAGTTTTAAAATTTCAATGAGCCTTATTCTAGTTGTCGCGTCAGTTGCGTGACATTTGTCGTTGCTGCTGTCACATCATTTGAAATGTGGTATTCTGGCTGTCGAATGACATGAGAGCGAGAAATAATCGAAAATGAAATGTTTCAAGTGAAATTGATACATTTTAAAAAGAAATTTTGTCGAGTAAAGTTCAAGCAAAAAAAAATTTTCAGTGTATATACATATTTATATTTTTAAATAACAAAAAATGTCATTTGCATTATAGTTTACGGATTCATCTCATTGCGGTACTGATGAAGTTAAAAAAAAAACAATTAAGGATCAAAAGATTTAAGATTAGCGACAGCTCTAATCCATTGAATTTGCCAAATGGAATGTAAGCCAATACAAAAGTTTTTTCAAGTAAGTTACAAAAATTTTATTTTATTCACAGATTTATAAACTATTACAGACTTCCAAAGGAGGCCTTTGTATATTTCCTGAATATATTCGAGGGGAGAACGAGTACCCGTAAAAAGCTTTCTCTGTCATTAAATTTCCAATTCTTCAAATTTATAAATACTTTCATGCTAAAAACAAAAATTAAATTATATATTTTATGACTTAATTTATGTATAAAATTAATTTTTTTTTATGATTTTGTTAAATTTTTTGGTTTTAACTTGCATTTTTGGTGTATCCTTCTTGCTTGTTAAATACTTTTCGACAAAAAACGTCTTTTTACTACGACATGTAGAACGACAACTGGAATATGGCTGAAACACATTTTCCCGCTATTACCCGACAAGTGTCACTGCGATCGCCGGTTAGAATATCAAATTCAAGTCGTAACGACAATATTATCGCTCTACTTCGGCAACTAGAATAAAGCTGAATGTTATTGTGGCGCATATTGTTTACAAAACTCAGTACATAAATCGCATATACGCCAAAATGATTCTGGACAAAACCTCAAGTAACTCTTAAACCCTAAAGCCATGCCTGATATTACGATTCCCTTATAATTAATATAATCATAATGATAAGTAATCATAATTCATTATGATTATATTAATCATTAATCATAATGATTAATATAATCATAATGATGACGGTGCATTCCGTCCACCTAAGCGCTTTAAAATTATTAAAACGCTTCAAGCAATTTTCACTTGAACGGTTATTTTTAGCTTAAGCGATTTAAAAATTTTGAAGCAAAAAAAAGCATGATTCATTTTGCAGCGGTTTAAATTTGACATTTGGATGTTATATATTATGTATGTTTATGTAGACTCTTAAAATATAGTGAACATTTTTCAGGTACATTTTATTTAAATTATAATTTGTATTATTATAACACATAAACACTTTTTATTACTTACCATCACATTCTCCATTCTGTTTTCCTTTTTAAAAATTTAAAAATAAAGAAATATAAAATTGACAGCTGTCATTCATAACAAATGTCATAATTTTTTAAAGAAAAATTAAAGTGTTGCAAACCGTTCAGGGGAAATCTGCAGCGATAATCAACTGAGCGTTGCAATTCATCAAAGCGTTTAAGTTGGCTGAACGTATCCAATGCTACACAGTTTTATAAACGAACGGAATGAAAAATCGGCTGATTGCCAAGGATTAAAATTTAATTAAGTTAAGTTAAATTTTTGTTCGGAGTTTTGTTTAATAATTTTTTTTTCCAAAAAATAATGCTCAGAGAGAAATGTATTTTTAAGTAATAAATTAACTGAATTAAAACTTAGCTTTCGTCTCGTGAAAGGTAATAATTTTTTGTACCGTTTTTATTTTATTAAAATTACGTAAATGTACAAATAATAGTGTATACTTAATATAAATCGAACTGTTTCAAAGACAAATTGAAGACGCTGCAGGGGTAAACTATTGGTTCACAAACGCAAATTCCTACTTCCTATACGTATTGACGTACTTCAAACATAATAACTTATAGTGCAACGGTCACCCCGTTTACATAAAGTCACGTAAAATTTCAATATGGCGGCAACAGTCAAACGAGTGGTTGGATTATTTTTCTTTTCTTGAAATAAAACACATAGTTGTAAAATATATGCAGGAAATCATAACAAAAATCAATTTAAAGTTAATTAAACTAGTAAATAATGTGTTAAATTGAACTAGCAATATGAAATTTGTGTAAAAAAAACATTAAAAATTCTATAATCTTCAATGTTACTTCAACAAGCTACCCAATTTACAAAATGGCGCTGATACTGAACTAGAAAAAAGTTAATACGTACGAAAAATTTTTTCTCTTAGCAAATTATCTAATAATTAATTTTGTGGTATAATATTCATAAACTATAATTTAAATAAATAGTTTTGTTATTTATAATTTTTGAAAAAAGAGAAAAATATTTAATCTTATATGGAATATTTGTAAGGAAAATTTAGCGGAGGCCTACATTTTATTTAATGCATTTTATCATGAATAAGGTAAAATAATAAATTAAAGAGCTTATTTTTGCATAAAAAAATGTTCAAATTAATTTATATATTAAATAAAAATTTGTTAAATAATTTTTAAGCAAAAATTTTGGGTGGGGTTTCTCAAAAATTCTTATTATTTTAAACAGTGTCTAAATAAAATTTATACAACTATTTAAGACTTTCAAATAAAAATTAAAAAATTGAATGTTAAAATTTACTGTTTCAGTAATGTTCTTTTTGTTTTTGTTTCTATAAGAGCTTTTCTTTGTTATAGTCCAAAAATTTAAAATTTTTTTTGGGGACCCATTTTTGTAAAATTAAAATGAATTTGATCTTTATTTTGCCGCCAAATTGTTATATTTATTTGATACTATCGAGAAATATGTCTCTTTTCAAATTTCAAGCTGTTTCCGAGAGATTTTCGTATTACGTAATCGTTGTAGATTTTTTAACGACTCAGATTTTTAAAGACTATGAAGAATATTTGATCAATATGCGTTAATTTTCGAATCAAAATAATTGCTTAAATAATGTTTGCTTCTTTTTTTCAAGGAAACTCGTGTGAACGACGGTTCTAAGCATAGTAGTGGCGAATCTGACGGTAATGACGATACTAAAGATGACAGCAATGAATCTAATAGTGATTCAAGCAGTTCCGATTCTGACAGGTAAGAGGTGGTACTAGTTAATTGTATCGAATCAAAACTAATTTGTAAAATGGTTCTTAATTTGTATGTATAGTGAATCTGGGAGCACTTCATCAAGCTCTGACACAGATTCTAATTCGAAAAATGAAACAACTACACCAAATACTTCGTTTGAACAGCCCAAACTTTTTCATGAAGGTAATGAAGATGTTCAGAACGAAAATTTTGGATTAGAACAATCCATTAACGAAAGCGTGAATAAAAAGGTGGATGAAATCAAAGAAGTTAATTTATCGGTAGATACAAATGGCGGTAATGATGAGAATTCTTCTGAATCGGGTACTTCTTCATCGAATGATTCTTCAAGCAACGGATCCGATAATGAAGAGCTTAATAAGCATTCCAACCATTCAGATCATCCTTCAGAAAATGAAGAGAGCAACAGTGCCAGCAGTTCAAAATTTTCAAAAAGTAGCTCAAAATCTTCAAAAAGTGCTAGTGATGCAGACTATAATGAAAAAGACTCTGAAAGTGGTTCTGATGCCGATGACGGCTTTGATTCTGAACTCAATTCAAGTGTAATATGAAGTACTTATAATTATACAGTTCATATAATATTTTTTAAAATATTCTGATAGGATGATTCTGATGAAGAAGAATATCAACCTAAACGATCTTCAAGAATTACTAGTAAAAAAGCAATATCCCAGAAAAATAAGTCAAAAAAAAAAGTAAACAAAAAGTAGGTACTCGAGCTTTTTTTAGTTGACACAAAATGAATAACAAATGAAGTGAAATAATTTTATATGTATATTTTTCAAATAGATGGAGATCGGATACAAGTGAAAGCGAAAGCGAGGCTAGTGATAGTAGTAGGTCTGTTAAAAGAAAACCCCCGAGGAAAAAAACTGCGAGGAAGTTGAAAAGTAAATATTCCTCCGATGAAGAAGATAGTGATGAAAAAAAAAGGTAAGTAGTTTCAAATATCGGTAAAATAATTATATACTTGACTTTTCCGTTTATTGTATGCAAATATTTTGTGCATAGAAAATATCAAATCTTAATAATTTACAATATAGTGGTGATTAATTTTATTGCTTGTAGTATGAATATCTGTTAATTTTTCACAAACTAAAAGTTTTTTTCAGTCAAGAATGTTAATTCAGTTAAACCCCACGGATTTAAAATAAAAATTATTTGAATTTTGAAAGATTGAAATTTTCTTCAAATAGGTGAAGTTGCCTTATTGTTGATATATTTTCAATTGAGAAACTTTATTTATATAATATACATTCAGATTTACAATTTCAGATTACAATATTCATACATATGTCCAACACTTACACGTACATATTTTAATTTCTAATTTTAAGTTATGGTATTGTTCTTTTTTTTCACTATTTCAAAAAAAAATTTTGAAAAAAGGTGCTTATTAGTGGAACTGTTTACACTCTTGAAGATAGAAAGATGAAATTTTGAATGTACATAGATTTTTACTAGAAATTTATTTCCGTGCAAGAAAATTTTCGCCTATCTCCCCCCTCTCTAAAAGCTCTACCCCACTAAAACCAAAAATGAATTTTTTCAACAATTTATTGCGAAACTATAAGCATATTTCAAATTTTGCAAACGCAGAAATATAGTAACTGACTTCATCTATGGCAGTATAATTGTTTGTAGACCCCAGGTTGTGAAAGTCTGAAATTTTAATAGAATAAATACAAGTTCATTTCGATAGAAGAAAATTTTTTTCCCACCTCTCAAGTTATCGCCTCATAAAGTTTGCAAAATTTGATTTTTGGTGCCTTATATCTGAAACTTCAAGCTTTTTCAAATTTCTATAAAGACGGTAAATTCCATGCCATTAAAAAATATTATTTTTCTTAACTCACGCAATTAACACCTAAAAACGAGCATTATGTTAACACCCTGTTTAAATTTATTTTTATTTTAAAGACTCCATAAATAGTTCATCCTAAAGTATGCAATCTTTGAAATAATTTCGTATATGAATGAAAGTAACTTAGTGTAGTAGGTATACAGGTTGTTTTTAAAAGCAGTATTTTCATTTGTTGAAGGAAAAGTGTTACAAATCATTAGTTTGACACAACTTTTTTAGTTTTTGAAAACGTGATATTAAACAATTTTTCGTTACATGACATACGCATAGAGATTTTATTCATAAAATATATTCATGAATATATGAATTTTGATTTATTAACTTAGTTAATATTTATATTGAATGATAAAAAACATTTGGAAATTTTTAAAAAATTACGCCTTTTAAATTTTAAATTTGAAAAATTTTTATTCTTGTGTTATAAATTATATTACCTACACAGTCATATCCTTTGAGTTGATGGAATTTTATAGCAAATTTTTCAGTATAAAATTTCGAATATTGCAACTGATTTTAACTTTAAAAAATGTTCAACATTTTTTTCATGGAACTTTGAATAACTTTAAAAAATGTTAAACATTTTTTAGGGTCACAATGTGGTTCTGCCAGTCATTTATAAACGTATATTACCCATTTATACGTACAACAAAAGCTTAAAGGTAAGCGTACTGATGAATATAAATATTTTTAATAGTTCATTTCTTTAAGAGGGTCATTCAATGAATTGATCTTGCAAATATGTATAATTTATAGTGTGTTTGTTGCTAGCACTGCATGAAATGTTCCAAGATTAAATTTATTTTCTTTTTTAGCGAGCAAAACATGTTTGGCAATTTCCAAAATAATCGGAATTTTCTACTTAATGTTGCTTATCAGTATACATTTGTAAAAGAAGCTCTGAATTAAGAATTAATATTAGTAAGTCTTTAGTTCAAGTATAAATTCTGTAAAAAAATAAAATAAGAATAAAAAATAAAAATGTCGTCGGGCAATAAAAAAAATCAAGGCCTAGACCCTGTTTTATGTGTGAATATATTTGTTAAAATTGCATAAGTATTTTTGGCGAAATGACATTTCTGATGAATTATTATTTTTTTTTTGCAAAGGCTATGATTAGCATATTTCATTTCGAGTTTTCTGTACAAAAAGTGGACTAAAACCTAAATATTTTTTACCTAAAATGAAATATGGAGATTTTTGAGCAACATATCAAATTTAAACTAAATATTTTAACCATAATTTTGATTAAATATATTTTCAAGTTTTTTTCGCATTTTTTTGTATACACTGAATAAAAAAAATTTGGTATTAAAGAAATAAAAAAAATTGGTTCGAAAAAGAATACACGGTTTAAAATAAAGTTAATAAAAATTTTATTAGATTTTAATTTAGATTTTAAATTATAAAAATGCTTGTATAAGGTTTTAAAGTACCTGGTGCGGTAATTTAGGTAAATCAATGAATTAGGCTTACTGATAATTTTAAAATATTTCCTAACATAACTAAAATGTTTGCATATGTATGCGTACTACGTAGTTACAGAAATGAGTTAAAATGCAAAAATTGATTACTATATTATTAAATGATTTTATTTTAATAAAAACAAAACAATTCGTTGTGTACTTTGTACATTTTGTACTTTAACTTAATTTACATATTTAGTCTTTTCATTAGATATTTAAGTAATTTTCTAAATTGCAAAAATTTCACTTTGATCACAAAAAGGTATATAAAAAAACGCTAACAGTTACAAAAAAATAATTCATAAAATCCTGCACGAAATTTTTATGCAAATTTTTGTCAAGTTAGAACAATACTTTAGTCTTATAAGCGAATGACAGTTTTAAGTTGCGTTAAACGAGATAAAAATTACATTAAATGAAAATAGGTGGCAAAAAAAATATACATATATTGAAATTATGTAGTAAGAGTTTACGTTATGAGAAAAATTGCTGTATATAAGAAATATGTATTGTGGAAGACATTTCATACATATTTAGCAAAATTATTAACATCAAATGTACATTTGCTCAAATTTGAAAAAATGCACAAAAACCAACTTAGTGTTTAAAAAAAAATATTTTTTTTGTAGTGTAGAATTTATTGAAAGGTTCTTTTAAATTAATTTTAATGTTTCAATAACACAGAACTAATTTAAGAATGTAAGTACTAGTAAAGTAGAAAAAGATTGAGTTTTAAACTTTTCTAATAAAAAATTTCAAAAGAGTTGATATAGTGAGAGATTTATGATGTCAAGGCTCTTTACAGATCCCAAAACAATACGTGGAAATGGCTCAACTGTGAACTGTCATTCTCTCTTAGGGTCCAGGCCTGTATTTTTGGCAGACGTGCGTCAGACTCATGCTTTGTAAAATTTCATATATCTCTTTAATTCCTTTATATATGTGCTTCAGATCTAAGTGTTAAAAACATCATATTGAAATAATTCTTTTATTATCATATAATTTTTGCACAAATTTAGGAGAAACCGAGTAATAATAATCAAAATACTCCAAATAAACCGAGGAATAATAATCAAAATACTCTAAATATGTATGGGTACAATCGTAAAGTAATTAAAAATGTGAATCGATGCAACGTTGAAACGAAAAAAAATTACTGATGTCATGCTGCTGTGATGTGCTTATCTTACTGATGCAGAATAATTTTGACGTTTTTGAGCACTTTTTATATCATATGTTTTTTGGCGTTTATTATGACAAGTATTAAAGTTTTGTTTAAAAATATTTAAATTATTAGCAATTGGAAATCTATTAAAAAATTTTTTGATTTCGATTAAGTTTCGAAAATATTAATATGTGTAATGAAACATTTAAAAACATTCATTATTAATTCATTATTTGAAGTTAATATTATCACAAAATAATTAACAGCATTAGTTATTGATTTAAAAGTTAGTATTTTCAACATTTTTGAACACTATAAACTTTATACATATGTGTTACCGTCTTGTTGATGAATTTTGATAAATGACTTAAATGTTTTTTTATCGATGCTTCATCGATTACTTTCCGATTATATCCATGTTTTTAAATATTTTTAACCGCAGATGCCTTAAAAAGGACAAAAATTATCACCCATATTCTGGTAGTCGTATCGCATAAAGTGATGCTTCAGGTCTATGAATAATTCCAGTAGTCGTAGGCGTGATAATTAAAAATTGTGCCAATCTTGACGTGATGGCAGTTGCTAAAATCATCGCTGGTGCTCTTTCTGTTAAGATATAGTAAATTCTGATCACCTCAATAAAATATTTTCTAGGTTAAATGGATAAATTAAATGGAAAAATCGATTAAGCATTCCTAGCATTAGTATCAGCTTTTGAGCTTTCATCGTTAATATTCGAGCTTTTTTCATTAAAATTTTCGTTAATATATCGGCGATCACATTGTTGGTTGAAACATATTCTAACTTAATAATATTTTGTCTATGAAATAAAACTATGTCTCTAACACGATGGTACTTTATTTCTACATTTTAACTTCTTGAATGATGTACTAATTGAATTGCGCTTAAATTATCTCCGCATAGAGCTGTAGGTGGGTTGGCGAAATTACTGAAGGGAAGATCAATAAATAAATTTTGAAGGTACAAAGCATTTTTTACTGCATTCGACAAGACAACATATTCATCTTCTGCATTGCTAAAAGATACTGATTGTTGTTTTCTCGCTTCCCACACAACTGCAGCGCCATCTAAAATAAATGTGTAACCAGAAAACGATATTTTATCTTCGCGATTTGTAGTCCAGTCGGCATGAGAGAATCCTTCTAATTTTGTTTCTGTTTCTCTATAAACAATTTCATAATCTATTGTTGCATTCAAATACCTCAAAATATGCTTAACAGCCGTACAGTGTTGATTGTATGAGTTTGTATTAAATTGTGCTAATTTAGTTACTGCATAAGTAATATCTGGTCTGGTAATTTTATTTTATTTTTTTTATTTTTATTTAATTTGCACCAAGCAAGATGATACATAATTACAAAAATTTACATAGTTTACAAAAATTGACAAAAATATACATTATACATAATTTAACATTATA